TGGTTCAAGGCCCTTCTGTTTCATTGCATTAAGTATATCATGCCATTCTCTTCTGGCCTGTAAGGTTTCTGTTGAGAAGTCTGATGATAGCCTGATGGGTTTTCCTTTGTAGGTGACCTTTTTCCTCTCTCTAGCTGCCTTTAAAACTCTGTCCTTGTCCTTGATCTTTGCCATTTTAATTATTATGTATCTTGGTGTTGTCCTCCTTGGGTCCTTTCTGTTGGGAGTTCTGTACACTTATGTGGTCTTATCGATTATTTCCTCCCTCAGTTTGGGGAAGTTTTTGGAAATTATTTCTTCAAAGACACTTTCTATCACTTTCTCTCTCTGTTCTTCTTCTGGTACCCCTATAATGCGGATATTGCTCCATCTGGATTGGTCACACAGTTCTCTTAATACTGTTTCATTCCTGGAGATCCTTTTATCTCTCTCTGCGTCAGCTTCTATGCATTCCTGTTCTCTGGTTTCTATTCCATCAATGGCCTCTTGCATCTTATCCATTCTGCTTATAAATCCTTCCAGACCAGAGATTGTTTCATTTCTGTAATCTCCTTCCGGACATCATCTCTTAGCTCTTGCATATTTCTCTGCAGCTCCATCAGCATGGTTATGAACTTTATTTTTAATTCTTTTTCAGGAAGACTGGTTAGGTCTATCTCCTTCTCAGGGTTTGCCTCTGTGATCTTGGTCTGTATCAATTTCTTCTGCCTTTTCATGGTGATAGACATATTTGTGGGGAGCTAGCATGTGTGTTGGGTAAGAGAAAGTCCCTTCTTGCCAGTTTGTGGCCTTCCTCTCCTGGGAGAACAGCAGCCTCTAGCGGCTTGTGCTGGGCAGCTGCATGCAGACGGGGCCTCTGATTCTTGCCCGGCCACTATGGAGTTTAGCGTTGCAGTTGCTCTGGGCGTGGCCAGCCTCAGGCTGCTTCTCCAATATGGCAGAGCCCTGTCAGAGGGGTAACAGGCGGGAGGCTGTTTATCATGGTGAGGGGCCTCCGTGCTGCGCTGTGGGGGTTCGGGTCCCCAGAGTTCTCCGTGATTCCCAGCTGCTGGGCTAAGTGTCCTGGGGCACTTTCATCCAGCTGTGGGGTCCCTATCCCTTTAAGACTTTCAAAAAGCACTTGCTTTTCTTTGTCCCGGGTGTGCCAGCTGCGGGGACCCGCTCACAGGTCTTACTGCCCTGTTTCCCTAGTTTCCAGCACCCCACGCATGCAGTGTGTCTGCGCTCTGATGTGGATGGCTGGGACTAGGTGTTTAGCAGTCCTGGGCTCCCTCTTCCTCCCCACTCTGACTCCTCTCCTCCTGCCTGGAGCTGGGGTGAGGGGCGCTCGGGTCCCGCCGGGCCGCGGCTTGTATCTTACCCCCTTCGCAAGGTGCTGGGTTCTCACGTGTGTGGATGTGGTCTGGCTGTTGTCCTGTACCTTCTGGTCTCTGTTTTAGGATTAGTTGTATTTGTTGTATTTTCAAAAATATATGTGGTTTTGGGAGGAGATTTCTGTTGTTCTACTCACGCCGTCATCTTGGTTCTTCTTCCCAAAGTCACTCACTTTTAACACTCCAAGCTCCAGTGTGACATTGAAGGCTACACAAGGGGCTTAGGCCTGAGTTCTCATTCTGGATATGCATTAGAATCACCCAGGGAACTGTAAACATCCTGCAGCCTCGATGTATTAGATCATACAGCTGGAGTTACCCCACCCAACTGTATTAGAGCCTTCTGGGGGATACCCGGGCTGCAGTATTTCAGAAGGTTCTCCTGACAACTTAAACTGTAGCCAAGACTGAGTACTAGGGGCTGTGGCTAGTGCCTCTGAAATGTTATTTAGCTCAGGAACCACTTGGGGGCCTGTTAAAAATGCAGATTCTGGTTTGTTAGGTCTGAGGTGGGCTGAGAATCTGCATTTCTAACCTGATCCCAGGTGGTGCCTGTGCTGCTGATCTAAATAAACACAGTGTGGATAAGGAGAGTACAGAGGGGGTGCCTGCCACCCACGTTCCCCAGCCTGGGCACCACACTAATTGCAGAAGGGGGATCAAGGAACACAGTAAAGTGGTTCAAGCAGAGACTAATGACCCCTAATGAAAGGCCTTCTGGATCATCAGAGACAGATCTCCATATTCTGCCTCTACTAATATGTCATTGACAGCATCCAAGAATCACTTATTCCTTCTAGAAAGTCATCCATAGAGTAACTGTATTTTGGCCCAACTTGCTCCCCTGCTCTCCTGACCACAGTGTCCAGCTGCCTCCCCCTGCGTGGCCTGTGGCTTGTCTAACTTAACAAGTCCAAAGGCAAACTCCCCATCCCCCATACTGCTCTCCCTCCCACGGTCCCATCTGGGTGAGAAATCCTACACTTGGGTCCATACCCTCACCCCCCAACGCTCCTCCCTCTAGCACCCTTGATGCCCACCCTGTCTCACACAGGCCTCTTGAAGTTACCCCCTAAACAGTCTCAAATCCATGCAGCTGTTCCCATTCCCCATTGCTGCCCCAGCTCCGGCTGTATGATCTTCGCCTCAGTTCTATGATGGTTTCCTGACTGGCCCCTGGCCTCTGTGTCCACCACTTTGTGCCTGTTTCCACCTTCTCTTCCAGCCAACAAGCCCTTTGGAGCACAGTGGGTCTTCACCATGTGCAGGGCCTGCCACACAGGGGGTGTCTGACAAACGCTGACTGCCCAAAGGAGTGAGCCACTCACCAACCTGTTCTCATCGTAAATGGTTCCCAGGGGTCATTAAACACCCATTTTTGCATCTCTGTGAGGTGAGGGCAGTGTGATACCCCCTGACTTACCCCTCCCCCAGTGGCCAGGAAGGGCAGCAGAGTGTCCCAGGAGAGAACCTCAGTGCATAGAAAGCAGTATGTCCAGACAATAGCATGGCATTCAGCGCTAAAAAATAACGATCCCTCAAGCCACGACAGACAGGGAAGAAACTTAAATCACATCAAGAAGTGAAAGAAGCCAATTTGAAAGTCTGCATACTGTATGGTTCCGCTGTATGGCATTCTGGAAAAGTCAAAACTATGGAGACAGTAAAAGAATCAATATTTGCTGGGGTTGGGGAAAGGGAGGGATAAACACGATGAGCAC